CGTATCAGTGTTTGTTCCTTTGACACCTGCATCCAATTAATCTAAATATATTGAGCAATTTTCAAAGAATACTCAATTTGTGTAAGATACTAATCGAATGGTCTCTGAAGGCCAATGGAACTTTAAATGTTTGCTATAAATTCTTCTAAAAATTTTCACCTTATTAATTGAAAACATTATAGCTTATTTAAACCATTTAAAAGCTCAACCTGTTCTGTACAGATTGTAGATTTAAACATAACAACAAATACCATAGTAGAATTACAATACGTAAATCATATTAAAGTACTATTGTTAATGTACTCAGATATTAATGGAATAACTTTAAATAGCTCCTGCATAACACCATCCGGACAGGTCTACGGCACCATCTTGTACTAATTGGTCCACGGCTCGAAGATGTTCAGACGATTTATGGCACGCCTCGCCACTTACACCTTACATTGTGCGCTCAGTGATTTTTACTCACTTTAATAGAAATTATTTTCTCTTATATTTTAACTTAAGCACCTTTTTCAATTTCTCGAGACTTACTGCACTTTAAACGCGATTTTTTTTAAGTTACATTTTTTTTAATTTTTAATTCACAATAAATAAAAATATCCTTTAAGCCGTTTACCATGAATCAATGAGTATAAATATTATTTTTATTATTTTATTAACTCTAATAAATTAGAAATGTTTTATTGCTTTTATAGTCATTTCCTAACGCCATCTTGTGATGATAAATGAAAATGTATGTACTTTAATATCGTCTGTAGACGTAATGAAAATCATGTAAATGGAAATTAGAGTATCTGAATTTCCACAAGGAGATGCTTTTGACTACTGTTTTAATCTTACTCAACGGGAAATGCATCGTATGAAATGGCATAGCAATATTGCTTTGAGCTCGGAATTTAGACGATTGTTTAACTAATATAAAATTTGCAAACTAGTTAGAAGCAAATTGAAAACTGTTCTTGCAACAGACATTTAACAAAAGCTCTTTTTTAAAATTATCCTTAACTACTACTTCTTTATAAAAAATAAATAGAATACAATTATTTAAGTTTTTCTTAATTAAGTCTCAGTAATAGTTAGGTTTGTAAACAATTCGACGATAATTTATTTCATAGTAGCTGTCGCTCATGACTCCATCCGCGGGGAATTAAAACAAACTTAGTAGCCTATGTGTTCTTCCAGACTGTGTTCTACATGTGTGATAATTTTCATCAAAATCCGTAGAGACTTTCCGGAGATACTTTCAAACAAACAATCATCTATCTAAACTTTCGCATTTTTAATATTAGCAAGATTGTAACATTTATTTCATTTTAAAGGATAGTTTTCATATTTCGATGTTCCGTAAATAGATGAAATTTTTGATCCGTAATAAATGGTAAATATTGTCTCATCGAATCGCATTGGCTAACCATCGGCACGCGAATACTGGCTGTCGAATACCAAATCGAGATTGTCGAGGTGCTTCGAATGCCGGAGAGACCGCGTAGTACCGAGACGATCCGCCATGTTTTAATGATTAGCATTATCATAGTTAACAATAATAATATTAACATCATCTTAAAAAGCTCTCGCTTAACAGATTGAGGTAGCGATACAAAAGGCAGTTATTTTAGAAATCGCACGCATAATGAGAAAGTTTCTGTCTCTACAGCCCATGGGATGGGATTCCACAGCAGGTGGTACACTTTTTTATATAATATGTTTTTAATGTTTTTTTTTATATATTTTTTTAAATAAGTAAATTAATAAACATATATTAACATCAACACTTAACTATATTAGGAGACTGGAAGTAAAAATCACTACACACAATTATGAAGACAAGGGAAGGCTTTGCAGTGCCATGCCCAATCCATAGTTGTAGCACGTTATGACTTATAGATGTATGGATGGATGTTTGTTATAATGTATCTCCAGAACAGCGTAGCGAATCTGGTTGAAATTTGTCATATATGTAGAATTTATTCTGGAACAGTATGGACGGAGTCGCTGGCAAAAACTAGTAATATTATAATTGGGAAAGGATCGTTGGTTACATTTGTAGATGTTTTTAGTACGTAACCTTTAAACGCCTAAACAGATCTGCATAAAATTTGTTACAGAGATAGACTAGTATCCGGTATAACGTATAAGTAGTTCTTACTAACTGTCTCGATTCCACGCGAAATAAGTCATGAGCAAAGGTTAGTGACCTAACAATAAATATAAAAACTTAAATAGCTAATGTAAAGACTGACAGACTACTTAACATATTTAATTTATTAATAGCGTTTATTTGCTTAAGTTAAAGTTAGTAAATGTAAACATAATGACTACTCTAGCGATACGAATTAAGTCAAACCATTGAGCAATTTTGATAGGCTTTGATATCATTCGTACAACCTAATTGGACATCAGATAGCAATTTCGGATTTGATAGAGAATTAATCAACAATAATAAATGTAATTTGACGATTGTTACTATTTAAACGTATTTAATTTTAATTTACAGAATTACTAATTAATAATTAATTAAATAATCAAGCTAATATTAAATAATTAATTGCTATTAAGAATATGAATGTCATCTTGATAACATACTATGCAAGTAACAAGTTTCTAGTTTTACACCCTTAAGTTTTATATCGTTGGCAAATAGCCATTGGCACCTTCATACGTCGTTTACGAGAATAATTAAACTTTTTAAACTGGCCTGATATTTCCACTTGACCTCAATTGTGATTCCGTAACAATTTTCTACTAGTTTTGTTATTTATTTGTACTTTTCTTCATAAACATTGTCTCAGTTATAAATAGGTTTATTTTGTTATTTTAAAAGATGTAATCTGTGAATTGTGTCATTGTAAAATGATCTCTGATAAAATATGACTATTCACTAAAGGTATAAGGTTGCAAAGTGCAAAGATATATTTGATTGCCAATGTTATTTGGAATTATGCTTCTATATGGCGTTTAAATCTTGTTCAACAATTAGACTATTGTGCAATTTCATTGCGTACAGTTTACACAAGTGAATACATTCGTAGGGCAGCATTAAACGGATTAGCACAAATCTTCCTTTAGACAGATTAAGTCGTTGCAGGTGGTATCTGGTCCCTAATTATCTTACTTGATGAATGGACATCTTGTATACATTATCATTTGTTGCATAATGTTGTTCTGTAGACAGTTAATATACCATGTAATAAAAAGTACCAAATAAAATAATCTTAAGTTATAAACAAATCTAATCATTCGTTTATTTTGATATATGTTGTTCAGCTCTTCTCCACTTTATTTACTTTTTAAGTCAGTATACCACTTAGCACAACTGAAGTCCTCTTGGATAGAATTTGACCGTTAAAATTTCTGTTTCGATCCCTTACCTTTCCCTTGCCTCTCTTAGGTAATAAGTACAAGGTAATAGAAATATGTAAAAGACATAATATAATATAAGAAATGTCTTTACCCGATAGTCGTCACGTTCTTCTTGTCACGTGCACCGTGAGGGTATATTTTTATGGAATACGTAATTTTGTTTGACTTCATACGCGATGTCCATATTTGCCGAAGTCTCAACGTCCTACATGCAAAGAGCATGCCGCGTTTCCATTGTGCTTGAGGACTGTTGAACACGGACTGCTTGAAGTTAACGCGTTCGATTTGTAGCAGTCCGTAAACAGCGGCTCTCACTTTTATTTTTACAATCAAAAAACTGTCTGATATAACACTGAAATTATAAGTTTTGACTCAAAGGTATAAAGATGGAAATAATATCTACGATTTAGTCAAATAATTTAAACAGGGGACCGAAGAGCTGGCAGCTACCTCGGTCAAAGAATTAGTTTAGTTGTCCAGAGGGGGAACGCTGCCAGTATCTTCGGGACCTTGCCTAAAGGGACTCCTTTTAATAACATATTTTAATGAATTATTCTTTTTTTTTATAATAACATTTTATTTAAATTTGAGATATTACATTTAGTATATCTGGTGTCAGCACTGATTAGTTTCAAGCCTATCTATTTCAGGGTAAGTGGGACTGGAAGAAGAGCCTCTAGATGGACACAAGACTAAGTGGTACCAACACTGGATTAATTGCGCGTGCGCCGTTTATTTTTAGTTTACTCCAACGGATAGATTTCCGTCGTAGTATATCCCATATTTGTTATAAGATGTTACGAGTATCTATAAATGATCCCATGTAACTCTAAATACGTAATATTATTTCTATTTGTATACTATGAAACTTTTGACAATGGAAACGAACGCTGCCTTTAACGAAACAGGTCTAAGCAAATAGAGGGAGACATTGAATGATAGAAAATTTTTATACAAGACTTCTGACAGTGAAAAGACAGGAAAGTCTTTGAATTATCAAAATATTTGAAATAATTTACACATATGATATATAGTACCTGGCTCGGTATTTTTTTTTAAATTGTGTTTTTTTGGAAATTATATTTAAGTACGAATTACTAATATTAAAATGATGAAATATGAATAATATTTTTTGATCTTACCGATAGAAAAAGTTAAGTTTATGTTTAAGTTGATTATCGATAAAACACGAATAAAATGACATTTTATAAAAATGATTCCTAGCTAGATCGATTTATCGCCCCCGAAACGTCCTATATACTAAATTTTATGAAAATCGTTGCAGCCGATTCCGAGATTCCAATTATATATATATAATATATATATACAAGAATTGCTCATTTAAAGATATAAGATAGAATGATTTTAAGTTAAATTCTATTTACTGTTCTTTATCAACATCCTGAGCACGTATTTTTATCTCAATTTTCTTAATTTGATTCCTTACGAATACCTCGAATTATAAACATGCAAATTATGTACACTCTGACAATGTTTACTGATAAACAATCATTGTTTGTTTAATGTTGTTCAACACAATATCTGTTAAGCATACATTGATATTTATTGTGTGACAAAGCGTCGTCGGAACCATAACTGAACGAACATATAAATCGTGAAGTGCGTTTGAAAAGAAGATGCTGAAGACAGAAACATTTGCGAAGCTGTTCTTTCTAGTCAGTTGTACTGGCCTTTTGATGTATGTAGTTTTAGCTTTTTATACATTCCATACAGCGTACACATCGATATCTCAAGTACAAAAGTTCCGTGAACGAATACAAAATAATTCAACAACTGATGCTTTACTAGAAGACAGATTTACTAATGATTTAAAATACATACTTCTATGGCCGATAGCTAATGTTACAAATAAATTAGTTGAAGACGGACAAAGTGTATTCATAAATTACAATTGTACGTATATTAATTGTTACTTAACAAGTAATAAATATCTTTTAAATGGAGATTACAGAAATTTCGAAGCTATAATTCTAAATGCGAGTATTTTTACTACTTGGGATGAAAAGAATATACCGGACAGAAGATCGGCGAGACAGAAATTTGTTTTTTATAGCGAATTACCATCAGATTCAGCACCTATGTGCAATATATGTGCTGAGAATTATTTCAACTGGACATGGACGTATAAATTAAGTTCTGATATACTCAGACCTTTAATTGAAGTAAGGAATTTAAAAAATGAAATTGTAGCACCAAATGAAAATGTTAAATGGTTAACTGAAGTTACTGATTCAAGGAAATCAAATAAAAACTTTGAAATGGGACGAACTAAGAAAGATGTCGCATGTATTATTAATAATTGTCATACTAAAAATGATACTATTGAATATGCGAAAAAATTAAAATCAATCTTAGATCAAAAAGCACTTGTTGTAGATATATATGGATGTGAATTTCTAAAATGTTCTAATGATTGTTTGAATGAAATTAAAAATAATTATTACTTTTATTTAGTGCATGAAGATAGTTTCGCGATTGATTATGTTAGTGCTGAAGTTATTAAGGCGTATGATTCTGGTGCAATTCCAATTATTATGGGAGGCGCAAATTATCAGAAGTAAGTATCTTTAATATTATAATATTCTTCTCCCTTGATGGAAGAAAGTCGAGTAAAGAAAACTCAATAGCTAAAGCTAAAGCTCTAAGCTTTATATTTTTTTAATGTTAAATGATTACTTGCCAGTTCTAATCTGTCTATTTTATCATTAAAGAATTCAGATATTATGTAATTTTTTTTGAAACTAAGTTATATTTTGCATAAAAAGTATTTTGATGAATTTTGTCAGATACTTTCAAAGGTTAAGATTCAGATTTTTGATATATAAAAATATTTGTTTTTTTTTTTCAGATTTCTTCCCGATGGATCATACATAAACGCACGCAATCTAACTGTTTATAAATTAGCAGAAACAATTGAATCTATAATTGAAAGTCCATCCAAATACAACAGTTTTCACAGTTGGCGGCAACATTATGTTATCAAACGAACAAGACAACTTGAAGGTATATGCGATTTATGCAGCAATCTTAATAACAAAAGATTATTTAAAACGAGAACAGCTGTTCGAAATTTTAGACATTGGTGGTACTATGGTTCTAAATTTGAAAATTGTAAAATAGAACCAGATCCATCTGAACGTACACGACTTACATTGAAAGAATCTGATCTCAAATCTTATTTTTACGGTCTTAAAAAGAAATATCGCTTACAATCCAAAGATGATTATATGTATTCATAAAAGTGTATGTATTTATAAGATTTCTCTAAGAATTTTTTGTACCAAAGTTACCCTTTTATTTTACCCTATCTTTGTTCGAAAAGGTTACTTATTGTCTGAAGCTTAACATTTCGAGCTTAACGAACAAATAATGACATTTTAGTAAGAATGTTTGTAATTATATTTGCTTTTATTAAGCAACGTACAAGTATAAGTAAATTGTCTATCTATACTAATATTATACGGAGCAAAGATTAGATTAGATTAGAAGTGACTGTGTTTTGTTTGGGAATATGTTAGGTGACTAGGTCATAGTCAATCACGCTGACCCAGTGCAGGTTAGTAAAGAATTATTACTAAAGTTGTTGAAGAAAGATTTGATTGCTCCGAAAGAACTGATCCAATTTAAAAAAAATATATATGATTTTTTTAATTCCGCATGAACGAAGTCGTGGGCAACTGCTATGAGGCAATAGAATTATTCATGACTATGAATTTGTTCGTGATTTTTAAAGTTTATTTTTAATTATCACTTTATAACTGATCAGTATATATCTGCGCTAGTTAAATCTCTGCTATCTCTACACGTGATTATATCAAATGGAATTTGCGAACTAATCGAAGTGTACCAATAAACAAGTGACGTAATTGATTTGCATAGTGAAGGAGCGAATAAGTAGGGTCAGAAACAAAGAGCTGTTGAATATGCGAGCAGCAGGCGACGAACTCGGCGATATGCTAACCAGCTGGGCGGGCCACTCGAGTCGCCTTATACTCCTGCACGGAATTTACTACTCAAGCCTGGCATATTTCAAATATGTTTATGTGCTCGCTGCCCTATTTACTTTTCGCTACTGCTTTAATGATTTGCATTTAATCTTTTATATTACAAGTAAACAAGAATATAAAGACTTGCAAGATTTAATAAACTTTTCTATTTCCACTTTGTCTCCATTTTCATATATCGATAATTGTTTGATTTATGAATTAAACTAATGATTACTTATAGTATTGTTAAAAGTATGAATTACCCAAGTATATAAATACTTTCTTATTTTTCTTTAAATCGTTTCTTACTTTTTTAGTTAATTATATTAAAGTGATCTTTGCGTAGATCTTTGATACTTATACAATCAACTTCTTCATTATAATTCAACTAGGTGTCGCCCCAGACTTCGTTGCGTTATTAATAAAAAAATTAATTAGTAATCCATGTGGTCTTCCAGACTATGTTCTACATATATGACTATGTTCTACATAGATCCATTCACCCATCCAGCTAAATATTCGCATTTATAATATTAGTTAGATTTATAAAATCAATATATTGATTATATTTCAATAAAGACTAGACATCTAGGCATCTAGGTAACTAGGCAGTACGTAATCTAGCCTGCCTGATGAATATTCTAAAAGGCGCGACGACACTTCCAGTGCCATTCAGAGCAGAGTGTGCCACTGAACCGGCGGTGATTTGAATTATGCCCCGTCAGCTACTTAAACGACTTCCCTACATTTTACCAAGATAGATGTATAGTTAGTATCTTGTTAGGATTTTGTAATGAATGATACTTATAACTTGGTAATAACAAAATTAAGTTAAAAACGCAATTAAGTGCTTTGTTTGGGTTAGTCTATCTTTACAAATGTCGATCTTTTTTATCGATATTTGGTGTAAGGTCCTTTAGAATTCCATAGAGATTTGTCTGTTACGCCAGAATTTTACCAAACTTTTTTGTTTTTATTGATGTGAGAATTTATAAACAAAAATAGGTATTAACTAAAAAAAAGTATTATAACATGTGTATTTTGTTGTTTAAAATTGTTTTGAGTACTTTAAAATGATATTTAGTAACAATTGTATAAGCTTCAATCACCATTAAACGTAAACTGTACACACAATCAGGCGTTGGAATTGTATTCAGATGCAGGCCGTGCGATATATCCAAGTCGATTGGTGTTAACGAAGCTCAAAGCACCTGATGCACCAATACGATGTTCTTTAAAGTCCCCAACCATTTGCTACAAACTCGGACGAAACAAAGTGATAAAATTGCTTCAAACTCCAACGAAGTGAAATGAAAAAAAAAAGAATATTTTCATGTTGATTTTCTCCTAGAAGTAGAATTACAGTTTGTGGTACGTTTTACAGAACATTACAATAAAGTACTAAAAATATACCTATATATTTGCCCATTATTTTATTTCAACTGTTGGGTTTAGACACTGTTTGGTAGTAAACTTAATTTAGAAAAAAAAAACAAAATTAGTTCGATTTTAGAAATCTCTTGCAACTCATGTTCTTAATACTCTTTTAATTGTAGGAATAAAATCTTAATACGATCACATTGTTGTGTAGTAGGGGTTCTGCATAAATAGCATTTACTGTGACCAACACGCACCTGGGGCTGCAGTTTCGGGTGTTTAAACTTCGCAAACTATTTAAATTGCACCCGTTTACTGGCAAAGGTAATATAAACACTTAATTAGTTTGTGGGACAGATTTGTTTTAGAAAGGTTATTATTATTCCAATCTGTAATTAATTTTTCAACGAAGAAGGAACATTACAGTTAATTATAGGAGTTTTACTTAGTAAAGGTTTTATTAAGTTTAATTACATTGTTCTACTTATTCACTTTATTGATACCAAAAATAAACATTGAAAATTGAGTTTAAAATGAATAATGATGGGGCCGCCGCTGACAGAGTTAAATAATGAATCAAATCCCAGGCGTGCTATTCCGTGATAGATTCACAAAGGTCAATAAACTTTGGTGAGAGGGCACAAAGCTCTCGTGATAAAATAATACAATATCGAATTTACATAATAAAAATGTTATTTATTTACCAATATGTTATTAATAAATAAGTATTGTTGATCGAAGTTTTTGATATAATATTTACTAAAGAATAATAGTAAATATTTATTGAATTAGTCATGCTAAATGATTCATCAGACATTAAGCAAATAAAAAAACACAAAATATTAGTGCCTTAAATAGTTCAGGACCCTGTTTGCATGCCAGTGAGTGGAGTATAAAGTCAATGAACACATAGTACGTAACAGAAAACGAATTCCAAAAGTTACTTTTTATACAACGAAGACGGACGAGTCCCTATTCTATTGACAGGAAAAAGTGAGATAAAAGTATTCAATAAATCTGTTTGAAGAGCCGTCGATCACAGATGTTATCCGCCTAAATCGATACCCCTTTATATAGAAAGTCAAATATATCTGTTATAAATTATAGAAGAAACTGAAATTATATAAAAGATTGTATAGAAAAAAAAAACAAAGAAACGCAGAACAAATATCTTACTATCATTATAAACGCGTATGTCCGCAATAGCTCAACGGATCTCGCTGAAATATGACATAGATGTAGAAATAGTCTGGAAGAACACATAGGCTACTAATTAAATTTTGTTTTTTAATACGCTTCTTGACAGTTGCGTGCAACAGCTATTTGTGAAATAAATTGATAAAAAAACATCCAATAATTATAAATAAGACAATTTTTAGAATGATAACTCTTTTTTACAACAATTAAAATATTTTATTCAATCAAAACTGATTCAAAATACTAATTTTCAATACTTCTAGTCATAATTTATATTAAACATATCAAACATTTTCTTTTGATGACATTCAACAAAGTAAAAAGGATTCCACCATTCTCTAAAACCTTGAATCATTCGTCTATCATTATTTCTATTGAGAAACTCACATAAATCACAAACGTAATCTTTAGGTCTGACCTTATAAGAATAATATTGTTTCCAATCAAAGAAATATTCATAAATATCAGGATTCCTGATAAGATAGTCTATAATAGCACCCAACTCTTTCAGAGTCTGATTATTAATATTGATGTAAGAACCAGGAGGTAAATATCTGAAACAAATTAATGTAAATCAATATTCATAAATTAAATCAATCAATAAATTCAAGGAATTAATAAGATTTAATGTTGGCTACAAAGGTAAAGGAAGAGTGAATTCAGATATCACAGCTGATATGTGGCCAATCACGATCGAGAAATTTTTATTATGAATTGTGGCAATCAATGGGGGAGGCCTACGTCCAGCAGTGGACATGTTTAGGCTGAGTATGATGATGGTGATGATTGAAAATATAATAATATTCAACTGTACCTTTCGTATTCCTTTCCACCTTTAACAAGAGGTATAGAATAATGCATCATTGCAAGCGCCATTCTTTCAGTAATATGATCTATTGCTACGGAATCTTCTAATACCAGGTTAAAATAATAATCTCTTTCAATTATTTTATAACAGTTCAAAGTATCGTTGTTTGGACATTTCGTTGCACCGCAATGTCCAAATATGTCGACAGTGAGATTGTAACCACCCAGCTCTTCTACAAGGTCCATTATTAGTTGATTATGCTTTGTTATAGATCTACATTTATTTACAACCCATGCAACTGCTTTCGTCTTTTTGCGTGTAATATTTTTATATTGATCAGTATGTTTCATATTAATAAGCCAGTCTATTTCAGTTTTCGGACCAATTAATGATTTATTCGAATCGTAAATGTCAAAAAATGGATTCGGTATATTTGAATCTAATCTATAAGTCCATGTTAAGTTGAAGAAATTGTCATATACAGGTAAACATACAGGGAATAATTCTGATGAATCCATTGAATTAAATATATACAATTGATCTGGAGATCTTGGTAGTTTTAGATATTTTTGTTTGACATTGTCTATTTCTTTAACATTAAAAACGACCGCATCAAAATTTCTAGGGTTGTGCCGTAGTAAATTCTTATCGTACGTTATAAAACAATTTATATATTTGCATTTTTGATTGATAAATAAACTTTGTCCTTCCAGTAATTTGTATCGGTATTTTTGATAAATATCGTTCACTAAATCTGTGTCTTTCCTCCAGAATAAAATATATTTCAAGTCAGTTGGCAATCTCATTACACGATCTTCTAAAACTTCTTCACTTTCCTTAATCATCATGTTCAAAAAGAAACACATTGTTATCATGAATATTATAAAAGTAACGTATACCAAATTTTTTATAATTATAACATCACAAAATTTTATTAAACGTTTACTTTGACACATTCTTGATTTTTTACTTGGAATAATTTTCATTTAAATTAGATAATTTCTTAACAACTTGAATCGTTCGTGTTACAGTAAAGAGTGATACTGAACGATTATTCTGCCATGGACGGTAAATATCTGTTTCTTAGAAAGTTTACAAATACCTCAAATGGAATGTCTTTTGTTACATCAGAGATATACGAGTACTACCACGTTATGTAATTTACAAACAAATTCTTAGTAATCATGAGAGAATTATAATAAAGATTAAGTATATGTTTTCAGATTTAAATTTATCCGAAACAATACTTATTATGTTATTAATGGATGGATGCTTGTTAGAAGGTATCTTTAGACCGGCTCAACGGATCTAGATGAAATTTGGCATAGATGTAGAACATTATTTTTTTTAATTCCGCACGGACGGAGGCGTCGTTGACAAATAGTTATAATATAAAATGTATTCAACATATTGCAAACTAATACAGTTAAACTTTTTCGTTTGGGCGTGTCTTATTGTAATTTATGTGTTTAATTTCGCAAAATAAAGTCACGAATGTAACCGACTGTCGCGGGAAAATATATTCAAGTGTTAATTTATAGCTAAAATATTTTCTTCGTATGTTTAAATTTAATATGATATCCTATAGTTTTGTTTTTTGAGCTGCATGTTTAATTTAAATGATTACAGGCTTTGGTAGTGTTGTAACGTATACAGGTAGTTTCATTTCTCAAATATGATAATTTTTATTTTATTTTTATTACATTCTATAATTTTGCCAGTAGTAACATACTGTAGGAAACATAGTAAGCTTTATAGCATTGTAGTATGTGAAGGGCCTTTTAAAAAGGCATAAACAAAGCTGGATCATTATACCGATTCTCACTAAGTCCGTTTGTATTGTGGATTAAGCGAAACATAAGGCGGTTAAGTCTTGCTTATTTTCTGTTGTTACGCCTCAAATTGTCGACACTTGAGCACAGATTAGCTTCGTTACCGAGCAAAGAAGCGCATACCTGAAATAGGGATGGCTATTCAACTATCGATACTTTTTAAAATTATTGTAAATATTAGGAATATTAAAGTCAAGATTTGTAAAGCTTTGAAAATAACATAAATGTTATGTATAGGCAATCGAGGTTTGGACATAATCCTTTTCTTTATATGTGAATGCCTTTGTAATTCAAAATCATTTAAACAATAATTTAATGCCAATATTTAAATCTAGCGTAGTTGCTAACATGTTCATAATAGTAGTATTTTAAACATTTTATCCACTATATAAAAGCCTACATAAAAGCTATAAAATAGTTTTTAAAACTTTGATAAATACTGTAAATATATCTTTTTAAATATATTAACAGTATAATTTTTATTAAGTAAAATTAATTTTATTATATAATTAATCGTTTTGAGAGCATATTGATATATTACAGAACATCACTATTTTTCCAAGTGGTCGCGCGAGGCAACTCGTGGAATAATGATTTCTTTGAATCCCCCCACTGTTTGAAGTACTCGCCATTACAGACTCAGATACGTTTGTGTTCTGTACTTAATAGCGGCTCTCTATGTCAGTCCTAATTGTTTTCTTTACCTCCGCCTTGTTTTCTTATCCAGTCCAAATCTGACATGACTTGTGGACCGTAGTGCTTCTGAAAAAAATGAATAACGACGAACCACGAGTTCATTTATCTCAAGCAAATGTTTGCGTTTTTTTATCTTTCTAGCTTGTTATTGTTATTGGTGATTAATCTCTTATCTTTTCCCATCTTTGTGCTTATGTTTTGTTTTAAAAGAAAAATGTGTTCTGTTTAGAAACTTCATATTAATTTAGCACAAAAAATATGCATCCATATTAATTTAGAATAATAAAAAAGTAACAAATTAAAATCTGAATTCATAGTTCTTTTAATTAAAATATTGCATCGTTGAACACAAAAAATGTTAAAAACGCTGCATACAGCAAACGAAAATGAAGGTAGATTTCATCGCAAAGCGTCAGTGTAAATTGCGGATGGACTCAATCAATTTGAGTTGGGTGCAAAAGAAAAATTGTGGGCCGCAAACTGGATTGTCACAGCTTCAATTCCATTTGGGCGGCGGACGACCGCGGCCTAGCGCCGACTATTTACAGACCGTGAATATAGTAAGCGAATTAAGCGGATTGTAATTTTGAACTTTTTGCTAAATTGAAAAAAAAAAACTTACAGTACGTGCAGTTGTTTCTGCGAGAGAATTACCGCAAGATCTTGTAGACGGTATATTTTATTAATAAAACTTATTAATTTGATTGAATCTTTTAATGCGTAATTCTTTTTTTTTACGACAAATAAGATTTCTTTCGATAATAAGATATGCATTTATGCAACGTTTGTGTAATATTAAAATAATTAAGTGAGAGAAAATGTATCCAACTATCCAGTTTCTAACTCTAACAAAATGTCTCCCCTAAACTGGCACAGAGTATTCACAAGTGTAAATCACTGTTAGCAGAGAGTCGTTGTTCCCACTGTTACGTCGGGACTCAGTCGTTGCCAGTGATTTAACACCTAATTAGTGGAGTATGCGGCGCGACGACGCGATGAGCTAAGACTGGGGATCGCGGTTTCTTAATGTGACTATACAACTACGGATAGATAACCGTAGAGTACTTAAGGTTAGAGACAACATTTTATTAATTTAAGTAATGCTTAAATCTAATAACATACAATTTAACATTCAATTTTAAATGAAATTACTAACGTAATTTTTATAAATTATGGTACAATTTAATTAACACAATTTCTGAGATAAATTTTCTAATTCAAACATAGTATTGTTAACACCTTCAAAAATAATACAATAAAAAGTAGCATATTCGCTCTAAAAAAGTCCAAGCTTCCTGAAAGTTCTTATTATTATTATTTACATTATGTAACGCTTTGGACTGAATTAGTACCAGATATTTTTCTATTTAATTCTAGTCTTAAACATGTCAACTTTTTCAAAATAGTTGAGCATATTTTAGAAGACTTATACTTTTTATACTTATAACACTCGATGAAACATGTAGTATGTGGAAAAGATTTTATAGGCTTCTCTGTATGTCAGGCGACATATTGTAGGAGGCACGCGATCGCTACTTTAGTACAAAGTGAGTTGTTTTGGAGCAATAAGTGGTGCGCCGTGCATTACGCTGTCAATGAACACTAACTTAGTTCCCGACGGGGAATGTAGCATCGGCAAAAGAAAATTGGCTTTTGTATTTGTTATGCTAAGGGATTTACGTTGATGAAAGGCTTGTAAAAATATGTGATATTCTCGTTAAAAATGATTAAGTACATTCATATCTTATTACCCTTGAATTTTAAGGTTTTTGATTATTGGCAATGGGAGGTTAGTAAAATAAAATATCAAAGTTTAATACAAAAGGATAGATCGATATTATGATATTTTTACTTCATAGCTTTTCGGTAGAGTTAACCAATGTATAAAAGTTTGTGTTATTGTAGAGGGCTTTATCAGTGTTTATTTACTGTACGGTCTGATAAAATATTTTGTAAAAGTAGAATAAAACATAATGCAAATTGAGTAATATTACTTTTGCCAACGCTACCGCGTTACTTCGTCCTTCGCTGGCGCGAGATGAAATTATAGACATTTTTAGAATCTTGTGTCGGTCTTGATATTTTTAAGATCACAGATTATTTATTGAGAAACTTCTCTTAAAAAGTAATGAATTTGGTTTTTATTAATTTCAAAAATTTCTTGTTTGGTATTATTTTTGAACATCACCTTTTTATATCATCCATCAATTGAATCAATTAAACAATTTATTGCTGCACACTGTACGACATGGAACACTCTACGACACGGACTATTTGCATTCATATTTTGCAAGGCTTTTATGTTTAAAAGAAAAATGTTTTAGTGTTCATAAGCAGCTGAAAGCTGAAAGTTTCAAGAAAGACAACCGGCTGCTACGGAAACGGAAGTTGAGCCGCAGACAACATGGCCGCCGGCCACTTCCTCCTGCGGAATTTCCTGTTACGGAGACCTTTCAAAGGAACATTAGTAACATACTAAGATATATTCGAATATTTTAGTTAATATGTACTGAAATACCCACAAATTGAACTTTACGAATGATTATTATTGTTTTTGAAAACGTCAAGTGTTGTCTTATTTTGAATCAAAGTAAAAAACCATCGGAAAACCTGCTACTTATTATACAAATGTTTTGTCTTTTTAAAACTATAAAAAAAACAAACAGAAATAAAGATTTAATTTGTGCAAAATAAAGTAACTAACGTAATTCACGACATGTACTTTATGCAAAATCGAGTGTCGTAGTGACAAAGTTGCAGAGTATGTTTGCTAGATAAGCAATGAAACAAGAAAGTGGGAAACTTTGCAGTATAGCCTACCCAAGAGGAAGTGACACCGGAAGTGTCCGGTGGTGGCGCAGTAGCGACCCCCGTTTCCGCCGGAGGTAGCGCTTAGACGTAGAGATCTACGGCGTAGCATATGTCTACGCAGTATGCTACATATTTAGTAGCTAGTAGAAATACTTAATTTTTTCGTTTATAAACATAAAGAACAGACAGTTTTTGTATCTTATTAATCTTACTAATATTGCAAACCCGAATATTTACATTGAGAGATGGATGGATAGATGGATGGATGTTTGTTTGAAGGTATCTCCGGAACGGCTGTATGGATCTCGCTGAAATTTGGCATAGATGTAGAACATAGTTTGGAATAACGCATAGGCTTCTTGTTAAGTTTGTTTTACACACAGATAGTCTATTGTATTGCATAAATATTATGTTAGAGTGGACTGTAAAAGTAAAAATACATACTACTATGATAAATGCTTTATTCATAATATATTATAACACTGGCATCTATTCTAAAATGTTAAATTCCATAGGTACATTACAGTTACGTTAACAATGCTATATTTGAAAACTTTTTATATTTAATGATAACATATGTATTAGCTATATATATACTTAACTATATAAACATACGGTAATAACAACGCCTAATATTATGTTTGAAAATATGGAATATACATGCATGGAATG